TGCATCTAAAAGAAGAAATCTGACTTTCTTTTGAGCAGGAGGCTCAAAGAGGGTAATCAAAAGACAAAAACAACAAATACCAAACACTTACATATGCCCTAATACTTATCTATAGATACACCTTATTTACACACCCAGATGAGTTATTATTATCTCAGAGGGGAAGGGGAAGGAGGGATGTACCTGACACCCGTGTGGAGGTGAGTGAGGCAGGAACAGCTTAGGGAGAGAATTACGCCCAAAACACAATCCCTGGCTTTGTTCCTGAGATGATCCAGGCATTTCTATATTAGCTGATTTCCCCTGCAACCCGGTCTTAGAACCCATGGGTGGTGGGACAGGTCTCACTGCAGGTGGGGGGCAGCAGGAAGGGCCGCGGGCAGGCGGGGAGCACGGGTGAGGCGGGACCGGCCGGGGCAGCAGGGGCAGGGTCCTCGGGCAGGCAGGGACCCCGAGGAGCAGCGCAGCCCCCACAGGACGACCAGAAGCCCCAGTGCCCCTCCAGAAAGCGCAAGGGAGCCGCATGCGGCCTCTTTATGTCTCCCCTTGGCTCCTGATTGGTCAGTCTCTGGTTTCTGGGGCTTCTCAGCCAATCAGGAGGGGACTTTTTCCCGCCGCGGCTGTCGCCGGGCGGGCCGGCGGTTGGTGCCATGGCTGCCCTGCCCTGCCCTGCCCGTGCCAGCTGCCGCCTCCCGCACGGCTCTGAGGGGCTGGTTCATGGCAGAGGAGGCAGGAGAGCGTTGAAAGTGTGACGTGGAGCAGCCGTCTTTTAGTCAGTTAGGACTGCTGACCCAAAGGGCGTATTATTTTCGTGTGAGGAAAGGTCTGGTCCTTCACAAGGGATTAGTCTCGTGCAGAGAAACTCTGTCACAGCTTCACATCTGCTTTGTTGAAGACGAGATCTGTTTGCAGTAGCTGTCTGGAGTGCAGCAATGGTCCCTGGGGGAAGCACCAGGGGAGGGGGAGCATCCTGGCACCGGCGTGACCAGGAGGCTGCTCTGCTGACATGTCCGATCTTCTCGAGGAACCAGAGCTCAGCTGAGCATTACAGAAGCAGCTAGTCCTGCTAGGCCATGGTTCTTGGTTTTTGGCCCTCTCTGGGGCCTCTCTGATCTTTTATGACTGACCCAGGTGTGACACCTTGGCAGAACTGATTTCTAGCACCCATGGACTTGAAGATCTTCAAAGATGAAGCTATAAAAGAAGCTGGCACAACTTTAAAATGCCAGAAGGACTGAGACTTAACCTCCACCAGCAGAATCAACAGCAAGTTCTTGCAAGCATTTGCTTTCAAAAGATTTATTCCCGCTCCTTCTACCCTTGCTTGGTTCAGCTGAAATGCTCAGCTCTGGACATGGACATTGTGCTGCTCAGGACTGGGGACAGCTTGCACAGCTGGAAGGGCTCTGAGAGCTGGAGAACAGCCTGGCTTCCTTGTCAGGGGGATGAGACAGTGGGGGCTGGAGCAGAGCAAGAAGAGCACTTAGCCAGTTGGTTAACTAGACATATCTTTCCCTTTCCCATCTTTCAGTTTCCCAGCTCTTCCTTGTCCTCAGACTCCCAGCCTTTCAAAGTCCCTCCTGGATACAGTTCTTTAAGCCATTCTATCTCACTTGTCTTTATTACACCAAAATGCTCCCAGCTCTGTCTGTGTGCCCAGCAGGATGCCAAGCAGAGACACAAACAGCTCTCCAGTGCATGGTGGCTGATGCCACGCTGGCTTGGCCACAGTTTTGTGTGTTCCTGTGTGGTGACTTGCTGTGTCACCCCACAGTCCTGTCTGTGTCCTTGCCAGGTCTGGCAAGACCTGGTGAGTCGCTGCCACCTCCCCCCTGGCACAAACCCAGCCCAGCCCAGCTGACAGGCAGTGCTTTGGCACTTGCAGGTAAAGGTGATACCCAGCCAGCTGCCTGTGAGCTCAGCGTTCTGAACAACCTCCTCCTCCCCTCACTGCTGCAAAAAAAAATGCATAGGACAACCTGAAAGGACCCACTGGCTGTACATTATTAAACACATTGTGAAAGAAGAATAAGAATCACCTCTTTCCCAAGGAGTGTTCTGCACCAAGATTAAAACCTTCAGAGGCAGAACGACCCCAGCAATAAGGAATCCTACCAGCTCCACGTGAAAAACCCACAGACTGATGGAGGAGGGGGACAGCCCTGCATGGCCACCATTAACAGTGGATCAATGCCTCTTCATTGTGCCACCTCCCCGGCTGCACAGCTGCAGGGTGCCAGGAATAAATCTGCTCTAACAGCGGTGTTCATGGCCCCATCCATATTTCATATCCCACCAGGGTGATTTCAGCAGCTCTCTGCTCAGGCAGCTCTTCCCTATCCTTGGCTGAACTCCCTGAGCCCTCCACAGACACATAGTGTCCAGGCAGTCCTGCCTGCCTTGCCTTGCAGGGCTCAGAGGACAAAGCTGGATGAGAGCAACCTTCAAACACTGCTGGGATCAGCACAGCATGGGGGAAAGTTACCCTATAAACGTGTTTTAAAACAAGAAAAATGCCATCACCCCTTGCCTTGCTTCTGGCTCATAAAACCTGAGGCTCTGCTGGTTTCTGCGCTGCACTGTGCCCTGGGTGTGTGGTCTCTGGGCAACCCCAGGGGCTGAAAACAGCTCGGTGGGATTTCAGTGTCACCACCACAGCCACTGAAACAGCCCCCGGGAACGCTGCCTGCATGACCACGGGACATGGCACACAGAAGAGCCAGCTGCAGAGCACTGCAGTGAGGCAGGACCATCAACCAGCCCTCAGCCAGTCCAGCTGGCGCCTACCAGGGAGGTAAGGGGCTGGATCACAGTAGCCTGTGAAAAGAGGGGGGCTATGGCTGCCCAGATAGGCCAGGTAGCTGCCAGCAGGCAGGGAGGGACGCTGCAGACAGGCCAGCCCTGAAAGCGACGGAGAAGGACAGAGGGAACTCTTAACACCTGAGCACAGCGTCTCAAACCAAACCCAGCACCAGATGGGTGCCCTACCCCACTGCAGCAATCCCCTCTGCTGCTGAGGTAGGTCAGCACGTCCCCACAGGGCTGAAAGCAGCAGGGTTATTTGCAGGGGAGTGGGCTGGGCAGCATCCACTTGCTAGTGGTTGCCTTGTGTGGGAGCACTTTGGAGCTGGAGAGATTTTACATGAAAAAGATAAAAGTGTTTCCTCTCTGCTTTGTCACCAACATGAAAAGTTTTGGTTCTCAAAATCCATCCTGGCTCTGAACTGAAAAGTTGAGCTTTCCCCCCCACCTATGGGGAAACACTGCAGCAAACAATGTCTCCTTTTAGGACCTGAACCAAGCTGAAAAAATCCCCATGTCCCTTCCTTGTGTGTGTGTGTGTGAGGCAGCAGAGCCACTCTGCTCTTTCTTGCAGAGGTCAGGACAGTCGGCATGAACTGCCTGGTGAGGGCCAGCATGAGGGGAAGAGCTGGGAACCATGGACATTGCCCAGCCACAGGCATCTGTGTCCTATCCCACGGAGGCCTGGGCCCTGGTATTACCCTCTGTCTGCAAATCTCATTCCCTCCAGCGCAAGCAGAAGAATGAATAACTGTAAGGTTCAAAACCAAATGTCAATCTGGAGAGGAAGCCTTAAATCTCATCTATGAGCTCATACATTAATGCTGGGCATCGCACTCAGGTTTCACAGGCTGTGCAAAGCCTGGATCCCTGCCCAGCATCTCCCAACACCCTCCGGCTTCATCCCCAGGATGACACTGAACTGGGAGACTCCAGACACACCAGAAGGCTGTGCTGCCTTCAGTGAGACCTGGACAGGCTGGAGAGCTGGGTAGGGAGAAACCAGATGAAATTCAACAAGGGCAGGTGCAGAGTCTTACATTTGGGGAAGAACAACCCCATGTTTGGGGGCTGAGCTGCTGGAGAGCAGGGCAGGAGAAAGGGCCCTAGGGGTCCTGGTGGGCAGGAGGATGAGCATGACCAGCAATGTGCCCTTGTGACCAAGAAGGCCAATGGATCCTGGGGGGCATTAGAAAGGGGGTGGTTAGTAGGTCAAGGGAGGTTCTCCTCCCACTCTGTTCTGCCTTGGTGAGGCCACATCTGGAATGTTGTGTCCAGTTCTGGGCCCCTCAGTTCCAGAAAGACAGGGAACTGCTGGAAAGAGCCCAGGGCAGAGCCACAGAGATGCTGGAGGGAGGGGAACATCTCCCTGCTGAGGAAAGGCTGAGGGAGCTGGGTCTGTTGGGCTTGGAGAAGAGGAGACTGAGGGGCCACCTCATCCATGGGCACAAATCTGTTCAGGGCAGTGTCAGGAGGACAGAGCCAGGCTTTGTGCAGTGATGTCCAGTGACAGGACAAGGGGCACTGGGTGCAAACTGGAGCCCAGGAGGTTCCATGGGAATCTCAGGAAGAACTTCTTTGCTGTGAGAGTGCCAGAGCCCTGGGCCAGGCTGCCCAGAGAGGCTGTGGAGTCTCCTTCTCTGGAGACATTCCAACCCCCCTGGCCACGTTCCTGTGTGATGTGCTCTGGGTGCCCCTGCTCTGGCAGGGGGGTTGGACTGGGTGATCTTTCCAGCTACGGGACCTTCAGCATCAGTGCTACTGCAGAAACAAAAGCTGTGTCGAAACAGCAAATGATGCTCCCAGCAAATGACGCTCCCAAATTGTCCCAGCAAGTGGCTGTTTTGATGGGGAGCAGGAAGCCAGCGTGAAGCAGGCCAGCTTTCCAGGGATTATTTGGCCTGACTGATGAGTTTGAGAAAAAATGCAGAGAGGCTGAAGGTGCTGCAGAGACAAATGGCTCCGCGGACGGTCCCTCTGCCTGCACAACTTCTGTGAAGGCTCCTAACCAGGAGACACAAGAACCAGAAGTGCCAGCCTGCTACAGACCTCCCTGAGGTGGACTCAAGGAAGAAACAAGCAGTCTGGGTGCTGCTGCAGTCAGTCTTGCTGGTGATGCTGCAGAAAGCCTTCCTACTGCTGTGAGGAAGGAGCTCACTTTGTTTCAAACAACTCTTCCTGTCCTTCAAGATACCTCCATGTCTAGAAACCTTTCAGACCACCAGAAAGGCGCCCAGGATGTCAGCCTTGAGGCACTGCAAAACATCTTTTAGGACAGACAACATCAGATTTTTCTCATGGCACTGGGTGCTGTTGTGCTTTGGGAGCTGTTGACTGCTTCTTCGGAGTGGGCAGTGGATGAGAGTCTCTATGAGTACCTTGACTCAGTTGATGCAGCTGACAGGTATGGCCAGCTGTGGGTTTGGAGCTCCCTGGGTGGGTCTGTAGGTGCCTGCAGCGTTGCCGTGCTGGTGGACCAGCTGGATTGCTTCCCCAGCAGCACAACCCCCCGCCTAGCTGTCCACTTCCACAGCGACGCTCTCCTGACGACCCTCTCACTGGGTGTCACTGCCTTTCTTCCCACCCACGTTCCCAAGGGAACTGAGCATGTTGGCACAACCTGCAGAGCCCTGGCCCTGCTGTGGAGCGACGGCCGCGCCATCCTGGGCTCCAGCACCACCTTCCTCAGCGGTGCCGCTGGCTCTGCCCTGCACAACGTCCTCTTCTAGCAGATGCAGGACCAAGGCAGCAGTGAGCTGTACGTGGGGCTCTCTCTGCTGAGGTTTTGCTTTATTTCTTCAAAGGGAAGTTGCTGAGGACTTTCTCCAACAGTAAAATTGTTGCAGCCAGTCTGAGCTTCCAGGCAGGACAGCTTCTGTGCTACTCCTTCCTGGGGACTGCCTGGTCAGTTCTCCTCATCCAGATGTTATCTGCCTTCAGTGAGGGTGCTTTGTGGTGGGTGGTGAAGGTGACAGTGGATGGCATAGCCACTCCAGGCATGGAGAGGGCCCTGCACTCTCTTCTCCAGGGCCTCTGCTATGGTGGAGGAGCAAGCTTGGGCAGCTTTGCAGGAGGATTTGTTGTGCAGAGCTTTGGCCTGGCAGTTCTGTACCGGGCATGCTGCGTGTGCCTGGTGCTGTGGCTCCTCTTCTTCCTCATTGTCCAATCTAAATTGCCACAGCAGAAAAAAATTAATTATTCTCGTCTCCTGGCTTCTGATTCCAGTGACATGAGTGACTCTGATGAGGAGAATGAGAAGGTCTGGCTGGTGAAAGCTATGAAGGGTGAAAGCTTTAACAGGAACTGGTCACAACAGCATGGGATCAAATGATCTGTACTTGAATGTAGGGAGTGGGTTGGTGATGTGGTGTGATGATGCCACACAGAAATGACCATTTATTCTAAAGTGCTAAATCTACACAGTGTGTATCTGTCAGGCCATATTTTTATTTTAAAAATTGAATGAGTCATTTTATTTCTGTAATTTATAGTGCTCCTGTAGTAATTTTTCCTTTTTAACTTAATGATTTTTACTCCCAAAATCATGACAAGGTATTTCAGGGATACATTTGCTAAAATGAACTTTACTAAGTTTTTAGGTGAAAAAGCAAACTTGAATTGAATCCCCCAGAGCTGATGCTGTGGGAGCTGTGAGTGAAAGCTGTGACCTGTATGTTGACACAATTGAATGAAGACTATTGTCGTGCCAGCAGCACATGGAACTTTCTCAAGGTGGTTTGTGTGCGAACTCCTTTTGCTGCACAGGGTATGTGAGTAAAGAAATGGTTCATTTGCTCTGCTATGATCTGTAAAATCAGGTTTTGCTACAGACTGTCTGTCCTCTCATGTTTTGGGGTTTGAGTGTCTTCTGCATCTGCTGGAAGAAGCCTGGGGTGTCTGCTGGCAGTCAGTGCCTGCTGGCTGTCCAGACTCAGCAGAGCAGCCTGCGGACTTCCTTGTGTTGGTTTACCTAGGGAGGCACCCAGCTTCAGGGTGACCATGAAGCAGCCTGCCCTCCTGAGCTGAGTACATTCTGTGGGTTGGGAACTGACCTCAGGCAGTATTCATCCCCAGGAAACATGGCACTGGCTATCTGGTTGAAGTTGGTGATGCTCCCTGGGTCAGTTTGGCCTGAAGGCAGCCCTCTTCTCACTTTTCCTGTTGAAAATGAAATCTGTGTTCTGAGCAGGGCCTGCCAAGTCCAGAAGGGTTGTCAAGCTGCCTTCTCTGTCTTGCCTTAACCTCAAAAGCACACAGATTTCAACACCCCTTGCTTGTGAATGATACATTGGTGGTGTGATCTCATTACAAGATCCTTACCCAGGGCTGGGGAAGGAGCTCTGAGCCCTGCAGTCCTGTCAGCTGCCATCAAAAGCTGCTGCCAGTTTATTAGGTACATCCTTAGGCAAGTGATGGCATCATTCCTTTGCAGAGGGATGGATTTTTATAACACTTTCCTAATGTTTTACAAGCCATTAGACAGCTGCAAAAAGCAGCATATTTAAAAGCATATTGAAGATGTAGTATCTAAGTGGCATTGCAGTCTGTCACCCTGTGTGTTCTGGACGTTCTGGAGGAAGCGGTTGGAGAGAAGGAAAAGCAATGCCAATGGAGAGGATCCCTGGCTCTGTACACATCAATTCCAGATGATCTGTACATCACGTGCTTTCAGGGCAATTAGCTCTCTTTTTTCCTGGCACAAATCACCACACCATACTAGAATGACTCTATAGATAGGCTTGTCCTTGTGCCAAGAATAGCTGGAACTTTTTATTAAGATGTTGCCTTCTCTCAGGAATTCAAACTGAAGTTGAGAACAGTTTTATCGTCAAGAGTTTATCCCAGCCTTATTATCAGGTAATACCTCAGGAACTCTTTAATTACTTGTGAACTGACTGACTGCAGACTTGAGTAACATGACTGCATGCAGCACATCATGGAGCCCTGGTGCCTTTGTGAGATGAACCCTGCAGAAATCGCTGGAATGGTTTAAAACACGGTTGCTTCTTTAGCTGGAAGTGACTGCCCTCAGCTGAAGCCAATTAAATGGGTTACACAGGCTCTTTTCATCTGCTTCAGCACAAAAATCAGCTCCTGTGATTCTAGTTTTGCAAAGAGAAACCTTGTGCCTTGTGTCCACCGTGGTGGGGGGTGGTCAGGCTGCCTGGCAGAGGTGTGGTGTGACCCCTGGGCCCTCCCCTGCAGGGTCACTTTGGCCATGGATGTTCAGATCTGCTCAGCCTGCCCGCTGGGAACTGGCAGGATTTAAAGTGTGGCTTAACCTCAGTGTCATAAGAAGTTGTAGTTTTTAAAGTTATTAATCAAATAAACACGTTTGGTGCTGATTCAGGGAAGAATCATAGTTACACAGTTGGAAATATGTTCTGAATGATGAACCACCATAGAATTGGAAGTGACAGCAGGCTCATTTGCTGAAGGAATTGCCCCCATTTGGTTAAATCATTTTCCACTGTCATTTGTACAGTTTCTGTACGTGAGCTCTACAGCTTCAGTGACTCAGTTTCTTCTCTGCTGGTCACAGACCCTGCAAGCCAAACTGGTAATGCAGGAGGTGGACTTAAAATTGTTCTGTATGAGACTTTGCTCTGCATTGGCTGTATTGTCCTTGAAAAATAAGGACGTGCTGAGGCATTTAATGCCACTGGGAATAAGATGTAACTGAGAAGAACCAAACTGCCTCTGGGGAAGGCAGATTCTCATTATGTATTTCCAACCATATCAGCAGTTATTTTTGCAGTACTTTGCAACTGTTAGCCAAAAAAGACAAGGAAGAATCTTCTGTTTCCTTAGGAGTTTATTCTTAAACAACAATTGTAAGGTTAGAAGTGATTACAAAATCATTTAAGATTTTACTGTTTGCCTACTTTGTGGTGAACTTTAAACAAGTTGCAGAAGCTCATATGTAGAAAGACTTTTTTTTTTTGCCCTTGATGTCAGCCCAGGGTCTAAGATGAGCTGTGTCATTCTTCTCTAAATACAATTTGATTTAATTGAGCTCATGAGGTAAACAAACCATAGCTAGTGCTGAGGAGCAAGTTCCAGACAGTGACAATCTTTGTAGCTCATAGAATTTGAATTTCACATTGTTCAATGTATGTGTACTTTGTGAAGAGTTTCAAAAGATCCAAGTAAATCAGTCGTATTTGATGAGACATCATTAGCCAAAAAATGACAAGGGCTTCTTTGCTTCTTGTGAAACAGCTTCCAGGCCCTGCAGGTAGTTTCGGTACAGAGCTGATGCAGCTGGACTGGAATCTGAGGAACTTGTTGCATCAGACACCTTATCTAGCTTTTTAAAACTTGGTTCCCAAGTTATAAGGGAGCTAAAGTTGCAGATTCTGGCAGTTATTTTATGATGGCATATTGCAAATGTTGCCTTCAACTCCTCTCTGTGTGCACCTCACATCTGCAGTTGACTTAATAGTGTGGCACTTCCCATACTGTGCAATGAGGGAAAACTCACTGGGCACTAATCTGTAAATGTTCATTTTTCTTGTGGACCTGATCAGCATAGTAAGGCCCTTTCAGTGTTCTCCAGAGATGTCTATAATACAGCAAACTACCACAGCATGTTTCTTGGTGGACTGTAGTGAAATCTGCCCAGAGGAATTCACACAGTGGTTTTGTGTTTTTGTAATGAGTCACTGCCCAAAACTGTAGATGTGGGCCATTTAAGGTAAGTCCATTTAGCTATAATTTCACAAGAGGAGAGGGGTGTTTTTGAGAGCTGTGGGGTTGTTTTGCACATTCTGAATCTTAAAAGCAAGAGTTCTTGAATTGTCTTCTATGAGGGGATGTAATGCCTCTAAGGCATGCTTAGGTGCTGCTAGTGAAAGTGTTTCTTGTTTTGTTCACCTTTAAAGTACAGATGACACGTTGCCACTTGGAGGTGACTTCTGATTGCAACGTGATACCAAAATTCTGTGCCTTTACAGTGTGGGTCCCATATAGACTTCTTAAATATATTAGACTGGCATGAGCACCAAGTAGCACTAATGCAGGGAAAAAAGAAGTCTATCTTGAAATATCTTGACACTCTCAGCCTGCTGTCTGTATTGCAGGATTTATTATGAGGGAGCCAATGTAAAGGAGTCTCTGCTAAGTTAGGCTGTACATTTCTCAGGGAATGGATTTTTTTTTCCTGCATAATTTCTTCTGGGGCCTGTTTTTGCTGTCATATAATTGACTTTTCTGGCCAAGGGCAGTTTTTTACTTGGGTTATGTTGAGACCATAAACAGTGAACCCAAATGTAAGGGGTGAGTGTGAGGCAACTTGAAAATTAGCCTTTGCTTCACCTTTAACAATGCCTGAAGAAATCCAGGAACAGAAAATATAGTTAGCTTGTCCTGACCAGTACAGCAGACAGGGAAGTTGTTGGCAACATGGCTTTGTTTTTGAAACTTTGAGAACATTTATAAGCTTAAAACATTTGTGTACTTTCTCTGTGCAGGTGTTGATTTCTACAGAAATGTCTGAATACAAGGAGATATTAGTGCTTCTAAGAAATATCCTGCTAGTGCTCTGAAAGCCTTGATGCTAGTGATTCTCCTGATGCAGGCCCATGTGAAAGTCGTCTCATGACCCATTAAAGCATCTCAGCTGTGGGTTGGAAGAGGGAGGGCATACCTGGGTGAAGGAAGAAGCACAGAGTTGGCCTGTGAGGCCATTTGCACAGGACACACTGAGTTGTGGTCCACTGGATTTGCCTTCACCTCTGCACACTGTGGAGACACCCAGTGCAGCAGAGCCTGTGTTAGTTTAATCATAACTCTGTGCATGACTCTGGGCTGCTTGATTTCATCCCATGTGTTTATCAAGAACAAAGTGAGCATATAAAATGTGTTGGATTTGTGTTGCAGCCCACAGCAGGTCTGGCTACTCAGGGTGTAAGTAACTGTGGAGTGTTGGACTGAGGAACTGATTAAAATATTTACACGTTTTCTCTGCAATCAAAGCAAGGTGACTCACTTCAGACCTGAGTTCATAATCATAGTGATGGGAGATGCTCATCATTTAATGAGCTGAGAAGCAGCCAGTTGGTGGCTGTTGTTACCTTCCACACTAAAAGCATCATGTCACAAAGTCCTGAAGTGGTTGTGCCCTTCAGCCAGGCTCTGTCTATCTACCTGGGAATTAAAACCACAGTACAGCTGCCTTGCAAAACTCAGGGCATTCCTAACAGTTCACTGGAATAGTGAAACTTGGTATTTTTCAAGAAACCTCGTTTCAGCTGTAGTGTGGGTTACAGCATGTGTTGCTCCTGCCCGAGAGCTGCTTTTGCCTTCTCAGAGGGTTGCTGCAGCGAGGAG